CGTGTCATTGCACTCCAGACTGGGTGACAAGAGCGAAGCTCAGTCTCAAAAAAAAAAAAAAAGAAAGAAAAAAAAAGTAGCACAATCTGGCTTCTCCTTCAAGGTGGTCTGGCTTTGAGCTCTAGGGCAATGCACCCCCGCGCTTCTTGGTTACCTGGATCACCAAGGATTAGGAGGGACTAGCTTGAGAATCATACCCTGTTAGAACTGAAAGGTTGCTCATGAAACCCTGGTTATTGTACAGGTGACAACTGAGGCCTAGAGAGGCACACCGATCTCCCAAGGCTGCCCAGCAAGGCAGTGTTGGGCTCAGAACTTTTTGCTTGTGTTCCCCCCACTCCCCGCCAGTGTAATCTAGGGCTTCAGGGTGATTTCCACAAAGGCAATCCATAATGTCACCCGGAGACCCAGGCCCAGACACTTCCAGTCCTAGCAGAGAAACTGATCATGGCTTCACCAGCCACGCCCTGGGCACAGCCCCACAGCTGTGTAGGGCAAAGGAGTGTGGCTGGCGCCTCTGACAGCTGCCCCAGAGACCAGACTGCTGTGCCCCCTCCTCCAAATCCCCCAGGTTAGTGAGAAAGAGAGAGGCAGACAGACGGACAGCTGACCAGGGCCAGACCAGCTCACTTGGGTATCTCCCAGGCAGCCTGTGCAGAGGGGTCCGCCTGGCCCCCAGGCTGACCACAGGCCACTCAGCAGGCTGGACCTTGAGATGAAGGAGAAAAGGAGACATCATTGTCCGGAGACGGATGTAGGGAGGGCAGGAGGGGCTCCGGAGGGATGGAGGGACTCTTGCAGAGCTAAATTCCATGCCGGCTGCTGCTCACCCAGACCGAAGTACAGAGCTCCCTCCCCTTCATGGGCCCTTAGGCCCCCACCGGGACCCTTCCCTCTGAGGCCTCCTGCATCTGTCTCTCTGATCGCCCCGAGCACCTCCAGTTCTAGCCCCCTCCTCCCCTGGCCCCCTACCCTGGCAGAACCCACTCATTGTCCTTTAGCCCCTTCACCCCCCTCCCTGTGCCAGGTTCAGTGGATCCTCGCAGAAGGTCCCTGGGCCGAGGTCTCTGTCCCTGATCGGGGTCAGCGGCCCCAGCCCTGAGTCCCCGGTCCCCCAAGACCCTCCATACCTGGTGATGCGCCGCGGCTCCATGAAGCTCGGCGAGTCCCGGCGCCGCTTGCGGATGGGCGAGTAGCTGCGGGAGCGGCGCCGGGCGCGGGCGGCCTCGGCCTCGGAGTGCCTTGCGCGGCCCTCGCCGTCCTTGTCCCTGCGGGGCCGGCCCGAGGTAAATGAGCAACGCGACCCGGCGGCTCCACCCCGCCGCCGCCCCGTCGGCCCTGTCCGGGCGGACACTCACCGGCTGAGGGGCTTCTTGGGCGAGGGCGAGCGGCTGGGGCTGCGGGGCCGCTTCTCCGCGGAGCGCGAGCGCGATTTGGAGGGCGAACGGCTGGAGCTCCAGGAGCGGGGGTGCGGGCCGGGGCTGCGCGAAGAGCTCTTCCCTTCCGGGCCGCCGCGCCGGCCGTGCGCGCCCGGGGACGGAGAGGTGCTGGCAGGCCGCGCGCGCGGGGGCCGCTCCTTGGCCCTGGAGGAGGAAGACGGCGCAGTACAGGATTTAGCGACCCGGGAAGGAGGCTGGGGGCGGGGAGGGTTCCCTGGGGCGGAGCTTAGGCAGAGGGGCGGGGTCCGTGTAGTTTGTGTTCAGTTTGTGTTCAGTTTGTGCGGAGTGCGCAGTGAACGCGGAGCCTAGTGAGGGGCAGGGTTCAGTTCAGGGAGAGCCCCGTGAGGGGGGCGTGTTAGGGGAGATCAGTAGAGGAAACTGGTCTGCGGGATGGTGGGGAGAGTGATCAGTAAACGGGAAGCCTCATGGGAGGAGAGGGGGTTCCCGAGAGCAGTGATCAGTAAGGGGAGAGGGATCTGCTGTGGGGAAGGGGTCAGGATAACCGGGGGTAGCTCAAGGTGGGGGGAGGGAGCTCCATGGAGGCTTGACATCAGTGGAGGGGGACTGGAATCAGTGTGGGGAAGGAAACTCCCTGGAGTTTGGAGGTCAGTGGAGGGGGTGTAACTCCCTAGGGAGAGTTGGGGTTCCCCCTGTGAGAGGGGAGTTGGGATCAGTGTGGGGAGGAAATCCATGGGAGGATCCATGGGGTCCATAGGGATTTGGGGTCCATGGAGAGGGAGAGGGAGGGGAGCTCCGTGGGGGTTTGGGATCCGTGGGGGTTTGGATCTGTGGGGCGGTAGATCCACTGAAAGGAGGGGTGGGAATCCGTCGGGGGTAGCTCATGGGGTCGGCTGGTAATCCGTGGGGTAGCTCCGTGGGGGGGGGGTTTGGGAATCCGTGCGGGGTTGGGAATCCGTGTGGGTAGCCAGTGCGGGGGAGGGAATCCTGTGGGCGGGTATCCCTAGTGGGGAAGTGGGAGCCCTGTTCGGATGGGGGGCGGGGGAAAATCCGGCCTCGGGGTCCCGAAAGGCACGCTCACCGTTCCCGTGTCCGCCGTGGCCTCGCTCGGGAGCGGGCCTCCGGCGGGGCCGGGGGGGCGCGCCGCCGCTGCCGGAGTCGCTGCTGAGTGGGCCTGCCTGAGCGAGCGCGACGAGCCGAGGGGCGCGGGCCGGGGCGCCGCCCGGCCGACCCTGGCGGCGGGGCGCGGACGCCGAGGACCGCGAGCGCCGCCGCCTTCCGCCTCCGCCGGCGCGCCGCTGCCGCCGCCGCGCCGCGCGGGGCTCGCGACCTTGGACGACCGGCGCCGAGGCCGCGGGATTCGGGCTCTCTTCCCCGCGCGGGCCGGCGTGGGTGCGGCGGCGCCGCCTTGTCACGGGCTGGGGGCGGAAGGGCCCCGGAGTTGGGCTCTGACGCGGAGAGAGGCAAGAGAGCGCACGGAGAGGGGTAGAGGGAGACGTAGAGAGACAAGGACAGAGA